CCGCAAACGGTCGCCGTCGCTGGCTGCCGAGCCCGAGCCTGAGCCATCTGCAGCCGACACACCGTCGCGCCGCAAGCGGTCGCGCAAGCGGTCGCCGTCGCCGGCTGCCGAGCCCGAGCCCGAGCTGTCTGCAGCTTCCAAGGTTGCGACGCCCATCACGCCCTCGGGCATCATCCGCAAGGCTGTTACTTTTACGCCTTCAGGATCTGACTCGGAATTGTCTGCTCCAGCACCCGAAACCGCGCCGCCCGCTGCGGACGAGACCGTTGTCGCGCTTGTTCACGCCATCAATGAGCTCCAGGGCGAGATGGACGTGCTGAAGGAGTCGTTATCTGCGTCCGAGGCCAAGTCACGCGGCCACCAGGACGAGCTCAACGACGTGCTCGAGTCACTAACGTCGTTTATGGCCACCGCGCGCGGCAGCGCCGACTCTCCGTCGCCCGAAGTGGAGCCTATGCCTCCGCCGGTCCCTGTGGCCGTACCCGCCGCTGCCCACGCAGCCGATGCCGTCACCCCGGCTGCTGACGCCCCGGCATCCCTCAGCCCAAAGCCGACTGCTGCCGACACGTCGATCTTCGACCCGTTCCGCAACCCTGCTGTCGTGCGGATGCTTCTGGGCCTGGTCGCCTTTGGCGTCGTCGCATACGCACTCGATCTGGATGGTCGGTTTAACTCCACCTAGGTGGCGACGCTGACGGCAGCCTCGCGCTTGGCGTCCTGCAGCGTGTGGCCCTGGGAGCGGTAGTATTGATGGGCGCGGACCATGAGGTAGATGGCAGAGCACCCGTCAAAGAGCCAAACAAAGGCAGAGATGAGACAAAACGCACCACTTGCCGTCGCCTTGTCATTGAACGCCTTGATGGCAATGATAAAGCCGGCAGCGCCGGTGCCCGGAACACCTAGCGCGTAGAAGAGGCAGCCCAGGATGTGGATGAAGAAGCAGACAAAGAAGATGAGGAAGAGCGAGGCCTTGGCTTGGCGCGTTGCGTTGTACAGCGACCAGTACCAGGTGTAAAACGCGAGGAGCGGCGAGAGAAGCGCAAAGAGGAGAGCAAGTGCAAACGGGCCAACGCCAGTCACATCCTCAATCAGCGCCGTCATGATGGCAGCCAGATTGACGACAAGCATGATGTACGTGAGTATCCACAGCCGGTACACGTTGGTCACCACGCTCTGCGCCTCGGCCGGGATCTCCTCCACAATGTCCATGTGCACAATCGGCTTACACGGCGGCCAGTTCGCCGGACGTGCACCCAGCGCCTCGCGCTCCCGCTGCTCAATCGTCTTTTCACGATAGTTGAGCTCGTCCTCCAGCCGGTCAAGCTCGGCCCGCTTCTCGGCCAGCGAGATCGGGTCAGCGGCGACCTTGGCCCGCGCCGACTTGGTTCCCGCACCGGCCCGCCCGCCAGCATCCTCGCCCGAGCCACCCGACCGATCATGCGAGTCCTACACGCCGTCTCCCACCCCATGGAAGCCCACCACATACACACCCATGCTCCTCCGGTGAATCCCCTTTCGCATACCACCAGCCGGCTGGTCGTGCAAGCGCATGCGCCATGACCCCGCTCCGCCCATGCCACCCCCCGCTCCGCCTCCCCCCCCCCTCCCACACACACACACACACACACACACACACACACACCACATACAAATGGGTTGCCGCCGTCGCTGCTGTACTCGTCGAACGGGTTGTCGTCGACCATGGCCCCTTCCCGCGCAGACGACTGTGCCGAGCAGGCGTGCTCGGCAACGTCGCCGTCTACGTCCTCCCCGCCGGCCAGCCGCCCCATGTTTTCTGTTGTGGCCCACCCCCCCACCAATGGCCACAGCAGCCATCAGCACATGGTACTACTCTTTTACCGCGATTGATGGATGTTGCGACGTCTGTGGAGCGTCGCGGAGCGCGGCTTGCGCGATGGACAAGTTTGTCCATTCCGTACTGTAGAGGGTTAAGCAGCCCCAGACTACGGCCCAAGCCGCCGATGTGGCGGTCCGCCCAGCGGCGGGTACTGCCGGCCGCCGGGTCCGCCGCGCATGCCCGGGCCCGAGCCTGGGCCAGGTCCACCGCCACGATCGCGGTCGCGAGGCGGCCCACCCGGTCCACCCGGCCCGCGATCGCGATAGCTGTCGTATGCCGGCGGCGGATAATCGCGCGGCGGCCCACTGCGGTACCGCCCACCGCCAGGCGGCCCGCCGCGATGGCTGCCTAGAGGCGGATACCCGTTCTGTGGCGTACCAGCAAACGCCGGTCGAGGGCCACGAGCGGTGTGCAGGCCTGGGCCTCCAAATGGCGTCGGCGTTCCGGGCGCAGAGCCTTGTGCGGTGGCAGGGTGCATGGCGGCCTGCGCGGCGGCAGCAGCCTGAGCAGCAGCCTGAGCAGCGGCGGCCTGCGCGGCGGCAGCAGCAGCCTCGGCGGCAGCAGCCTCTTTACGGCGCTGCTCGTCAGCAAGGAGCACGGTCTTGAGCAAGAGGAACAGCTTGCGCTTTTGTGCCTTCAACTCGGCCAGGCGGGAGCGTGTGGCGGTGACGGCGTCCTCAGTAGCAGCAACTGGGCAATGGAGGTGAGTGGGTTGCGGCTGGTGGTGGTGGGGGAGGGGGGGGGGGGGGGGGGGGATGGGGATAGGGCCGATGGCCCGGAAGGGCCTGATGGCGTACCTTGCGCTTGCAGGCGGGCGTGGTAGAGCGCTGTCTCATGTGTCCGCTCGTGCTCCTCCTCGGCATCCTTGCGGGTCCGGGCGTGGACCATGCGCCGTATGGCGGCCGCCCTGGGCGAGGCCGGCCGCAACAAGCGCTTGGGCGCATACACCCGGGTCGGGGGCGGAGCGCCGCTCATGCCTGATGTGTACAAGACCGACAGCGGTGAGGGTGGAGGGATGGAGTGGGGTGGGCGTGGGGTGGGAGTGGGGTGGCTGCTTCCCTTGCCCTTGGCGGCGGTGGCACGGCCCGGCATGGGCGACTCGACGGCTGGCGACGACGTCACACAGGCAGTGTGTCTGGCTGCCCTCGCCCTCGCTCACGCTCCCAAACGCTCAGTATGCCCACTGCACTCGCTTGTTCCCTTCGGTCTCAACCTCGGCCACCCCACTCCCGCCTATTCTGCTACTTTGGCATGGCGGCATCAAGCTCGTGGGAGCCGCTGCGCGCTGCTGTCCTCGACACCCTGAAGACCACCTGGGGCTACCACCAGCCGCATGTCTGGCAGCTCCATGTCCTCCGTGCCCTCCTGGCTGACCGTCGCGATGCGGTTGTGGTCCAAGCTACAGGCTCCGGCAAGTCGATGGTCTACCAGCTGCCATCGCTTGTCCTTGCCGCCACCCCGCCGCCGTATCTGTCTGACGCCGCCGCCGCCGCCCCACTCACCATCGTCATCTCGCCGCTCATCGCCCTCATGGCCGACCAGACTGCCCGCCTCTCTTCGCTAGGCATCTCGTCCACATTTATGGGCTCCGGTAATCCCGGCTCGTCTGCCATTCGCAGCGGCCTTATTTCCGGCGATCAGGACGCCCTCGCGCTCCGCATCGTCTACATGTCGCCCGAGTATGCGTCGTCAATGCTGACCACGTCTGCCCTCGCTGCCGCCCCCGCTTTTGCCTCGCGCATTGTTCTGCTTGCCATCGATGAGGCACACTGCATTTCCAAGTGGGGCCACGACTTTCGCCAGGCATACTTGGACCTTCCGGGCCGCGTCGCCGATGTCAAGGCTGCCACCGGAGCGCCCGTCGTCGCCCTCACCGCCACCGCCACCAGCCGTGTGGTTGAGGAGCTCGCCCAGTCGATGCAGCTGACTAACCCTCTGGTCTCGGTCGGCTCGTTCAACAGGCCCAACCTCCACCTCTCGTTTGGCGTCATCGATTCTGTCGACTCGCAGGTCGTCCCGCTGCTGACCGGGAAAGACTCGGCCGCCCGCAAGCCATCTATCGTCTACTGTCGGACCCGCAAGGCCACCGAACGGATTGCAGCAAAGCTGAAGTCGAGTCGCGCCGGCCGCGTCGAAGCCTACCACGCCGGGCTTGGCGCGCAGCGCAAGGGCATCCAGGATCGATTCACCGCAGGCCAACTCGACGTGGTCGTCTGCACCATCGCCTTTGGCATGGGCATCGACAAGGCCAACATCCGCTCGGTCATCCACGCTCACGCCCCGTCGTCAATAGAGTCGTACTATCAGCAGATCGGCCGCGGTGGCCGTGATGGCGACCTCTGCGAGTGCTACTGCTTCTGGCTCGCAAGCGACTTTGAGGTCGACAAGAACTCTGACGCTGCCGTTTATGCCCAGCGCCTTGCATCGGCGTCCGCGCTCAAGGCGCTAGTCAGCACGGCAAAGACTTGCCGCAAGCAAAGCCTGGTCGCCTACTTTGGTGAGTCCATATTGCCGTGTCATGCATGCGACATCTGTGACCTTGGCGACGCCCCGCTCATCGACTTTTCCTGCGACGCCTTTCTCCTCCTTGGCGCGCTGCAAGTGTGCGGCGAGACCGCTGGCCCGTCCAAGGCAATCAAGCTTCTGCACGGAACCAAGCCGCCCGGCAACCTTCCGGTCAACTTTAGCACCTTCCTCAACGCCGGAAGCCACCACTCCCCTGGCTGGTGGAGCGCGCTCGGCTTTCGCCTCATCAAAGTCGGCATGATTGTCTCAACGCATATTGCTGTCCGTGGTCGCTCTCGCGGCTTCGACAAGTGGTCCCTCACCCGCGAGGCAAAAGAGTATGTTGCCGCCGGCAAGCCGCAGATCGCATGCGACAAGCTTGTGTTTCACCCCGGCCCCGAGCTGCTCGTCGACTGCAGCCCAAAGTCGAGTCGTCCGGCCCTACAAGGCCTTCTGCAGCGCGCACCGAGCTCGTCGCTCATCATCAACTCACGCTCGGCGCTTCGTTCTGCACTCTTGTCGATCGAGCCCTCGTTGTCGGCCACTGTTGTGGACGACATCGTCGACCACGTCCCGGCTTCTCTCTCCGAGCTCACCGCCATTAATGGGATCTCGTCGCGTGTTGTTGGTAATGTCGGCACCGCGCTCCTCGCCGCAGTCAAACCTTACGTCCCCCTTGCCAAGGCGTTTCGGGCCGAAGCCATTGCCAGTGCCAAGCAGTCGCTCGCCCTTTTCCAGGATCGTGGCCTCGCGCTCCAGTCAGTAGCAACTGCCCGAGGCAAGTCAGTCAACACCATTCTTCGCCAGCTCATGCTCTGCGTCTCCAACGGAGACTCGTTCAACGGTTCGCTCCTCGGCTGGTCCAAGGCATCCGTCGAGCTCGCGTATGCCTCATTCGTCTCTCTGCTCGACGCGCCCGTGGCAGACGACGTGCTTTCCGGCTCGATGCCGTCGACGCCCTCCGCCGTCGACGAGAACATTGTTAACTTTATTCGCGCGTTTGTGGCCTTCTACGCCAAAGCCAAGCCCCACGCCGGCATGCCCGACGTCACGACGGTAACGGCCGCCCTACTCTCATCGTCTGGCACTTTAGCGGCCGCCGCCATCTCGCCAACCAAGCGCGTCTTTGACTCGTCGACAGAGCTCGCCATCAAGTCGTCAAAGTCGACGCCGGCTGCCTCCATCAAGCCCGTTCGCCACTCTGGTAATCGGCTCAAGCGCAAGCGGTCGTTCAAGGCCAAACCTGCGGCAGTCAGCAATGCCACGTGTGTCGCCGCCACACATGTGGCTCCGCCGCCACCGACATCGGCCTCGACGTTCGCCGTCGACGAGCCGCCTCCGCTGCCTCCATCCAGCCAGACGTCACCACCCGTACCATTGTGGCTGCAGCATGCTCGCGGGTCCCAGCCGTCTCGGCCTCGGCCTCCGCCAGCACAAAGCCAGACTACTGACTACTTTGCCGGACTCGATGACGCGGCCCTCGCCGAGGCGTTTGGTGACATTGAGCCGCTGGCTAAGCGGCCGAAGACGCTCTCATAGCGCGGCTGCAAGACGCGTCTCGAGCTCGGCGCGCACGGCGGCGAGCTCAGGGCTCATCGGCAGAAACGAGGCGTCGAGCGCAGTGATATTGGCCTGGATGACCTCGGCACGTGTGAGGCCACACTTGTGGATGGCCGTGACAAGCTCGCCCGAGAGCGTGATGTCAAACAGGCCCGGATCATCGGTGTTGAGACAAATCGGAAGGCCGGCGTCGAGCATGGCCCGGACCGGGTGGCTCTCGAGCGACGCGACGGCGTTGATGAGGTAGTTGGACGACGGTGAGATCTCAAAGACGGTACCTGCGCTGCGGACGACGGCGACGGCGTCGTCGGCGTCCATGACGTGGATGCCGTGGCCAATCCGGACCGCACCCTGCTCTTTCACTGCGCGCACCACCCAGCCGGCCGAGAGCGGCGAGTCGACCTCGCCAGCATGGACTGTGACCTTGAGGCCATGGGCAGCAGCATGCGCAAAGGCTTCAGGAAAGACCGAGTCGCAAAACGCAGCCTCGTCGTTGGCCAGATCGACGCCGATAAAGTCACCGGCATCCACAAAGAACTTTGCGATGGTCAGCGCTTCTGCCGGCGTCTGGAACCGATCGATGATGCCGATGAGACCTAGACCGACCAGGCCTGCTGCGTCAGGATGGTTGCGGCCATCCGCCACGCCCTTGCGCACCGCGTCGTGGACGGCGGCGTAGTCCAGGCCGCAGGCCATGCCGATGTAGCCTGGCGAGTATCGGAGCTCGAGAAGAGCGATACCGTCGCGGGCGGAGTCGATCACCACCTCGGCCGTCAGCCTCGCAATGACTTCGGCGTCTGTAAACACCGCCTGCAGCCGACCGAATCGGTCCATACACTCTGTAAGCGAAGTCACCGGCGTGGTAATGCAGTAGTACGCTCGCGCCGCCGTCATCCGGTCGCCACCGCTCGCCGCCAGCGTCGCCGCCGCCGCCTCGTCGCGCTCCACAGGCAGGAGGGCAGCAAGGCTCTCCAGCCGCAACGAGCCCTCGAGGTGCCGATGGAGCTCGACCTTGGGCAGCGCCCGCATCTCTGCGCAAACCTCTGTGGCGTCCATGGTCGACGTTGTGGACGGAAGTGAAGTCTTTACGCAGACCGGGCAGTGCTATGCTCGGGCGGAGGAGGGGCGTTGGTGGGGGCAGCCGGACCGCGCCCGCCGCGACGCCCGCTGCTACTCTTGTGATCACGCGAGTGTGAGCAAAGGTGGGTGGTGACTGGCGATTGCGCGAGGTCTACACTGTCGCGGACACGTGCTTCGACTTTGCGCACCGCGGCGTCGAGCGTTGAGGTCGGGAGGCCGAGCGCAGCAGCAAACGAGTCGGGTGGTCGTGAGGTGATCGCCAGGTTGATGCTCGGCAGCGCAATAGCCGAGGCATGGAGCATGAGCCGAGGGACATGCGGCCGCTGGCCGGTCCGAGCGTCGTAGACCATGTCGCCAACGAGCGGCATGTCGAGCCCGTAGGCGGCGTGGGCTCGGATCTGGTGCTTGCGCCCAGTAGAGGGGAAGAAGGCCACGAGCGTGCTGCCGTTGCCAAGCTCGGCAATGGCTTCGGCATAGGTCACAGCAGCCTTGGCGCCGGCGGCATCGGTCCCGCATGGCGAGACGCGATGGCCGTCGGTTCGCAGCGCGAGGTTGATGGTGTGCGTCGAACCCGGCTCGAGTACGCCGGTGACGACGCCGAGGTAGCCCTTGCTCACGGTTTGGCCCGCAAACGAGTGCGCAAGGTCGGCGGCAACAGATCGCGTCCGCGCTAGCACCATCAGGCCTGACGTGCATCGGTCCAAGCGATGCACCAGCCGTGGGCGGACAAAGGCGAGTCTGTCTGGGCCGGGCAGCTCGCCGCGCTCGGCCGCGTGGGTCAGCAGCGCGTCGACCGAGCTGTGCATGTCGGCGGGTGAGCCGCCTTGTGCGGCCATGCCCACTGGCTTGTCGACAACAAGCACCTCGGGCGTGGCAAACTGGATGAGCTCGTTGACCCCGAGCTCGGCATCGTGTGGAAGATTGACCTTGGTCTGCATTCGCCATCGCTCGCCGTCTCGACCTGCCTGCCGCTCCACAGCGAGCATGCGTGTGGCAGCCGGGGCAGCAGTGACCAGCGAACCGGTAGGGAGCCGGAGCGAGTGCGCCCGTCGCTTGTTGGCACACCCATGGGAGCCCTCGGCGGGAGCGCCAGGTGCCGGCCGCGGGAGCACCACCCGGACGTCACCCTCGCGAAGGAGGCGGAAGAGAGCCGTCCGCGAGACATGCGGTGCAAGCGCAGCCAAGATGCGAATCGTCCGTCCGCCCGACTCGTGGTCGCTCACCTCGTGCACAACAGCGTGTCGTGGATGAATGGGCGCCGGAGGGCGGGCGGCGGCTGCTACGGCCGCGGCCGTGGCGGCAGTCGGCCCCGCACTCATGGGCGCCACCTGGACCACGGCTCGGATGCTACACGCGGCGCGTTCTGTGCACACCCGCGCTAATGAGAGCATACTGGTGTTCTGCGTGGGGGGGGGGGGGGGGGTTCGGCTCGACGAGAGGTGCGAGTCGAGTGGTCCCCACCAGGAACACGACGAACACGCGCGCCGCGCGTTGGTCGGCAAGATAGGGCCGGGCCGCCGCAGAGCATCCCGCAAGAGTTCCAGAGGGGCCGGCTAGAGGGGAAATTACACGGTGGCAATGTAATGGGCATGCTATGTGGCGGCTGGGGAGCTGTCTGGCGAGCTTAGCGCGGCCTCAAAGGCGTGAGCGGCGTCGGACGGATCAGACCCGGGCGCGCACGGCGTCCCGGTCTCGGCCAACGCCGCGTTCTGGGCACGAAGATCAGCCAGTTGGGCCTGGAGCGTTTCCCTCTCGCGACGGACGGCGCCGCGACGGGCGGCAGCCTGATGCGGTGTCTCGTTGCCTGTTGCGGAGCGGACAGCGGCGGCAAGGCGTGTTCCAGCTTCGACCGCGAGCGACCCGACAAGGGCAGCCCTCCGCTCGATGCGCAGAGTCGAGGCGTACGTTGCCACCAACATCTTCATGTGGGCAACCACAGGTGATGCCTGAAGTGCACCCAGTGACTCGTTGGTGGCGAGCCGGTCTCGGATGGTGGCGAGCGAGGCCTTGGCAGCCTCGTACGCCTCCGACGGCTGGAAACCCTCGATCTGCCGGCGCATGGCAGCAAGCGACGCGAGGAGGATTGCGCCAGAAGCTGCCATTGCCGCGCGCACGCCAGCCGCACGCGTCGCACTCTCTGTGGCATCCTCGCTCGTCAGCGGTGACGTGCTTGCGGCCGGCAGGTTACCTGCAGGCACGACCGCACCTCGCACGCCACGAGCCTTGGCCTCGGCGATCAGTCGTGCACGCTCGGCGGCGCGTGCAGCTTGCATCAGATGCGCTTGGCTGTGGGCCTTGGCCTTGGCGGCTGCTGTCGCGCCCTTGGGGATGGCAACACCGTGCGAGCTCGACGGGGGCGGCGAGTGTATGGGTGTCGGGCCCGAAGCAGGCTCCACCTCTGCGGCAAACGCTTCAAAGCGGGACTTGGAAAAGTCAAAGGCCGAGGCAAAGGCAAGCAGGCCGTTGAGGTCTGAGACCAGGATCTGGCCGCACATCATGGCCAGCATCGGGTCGGTCGTCCCAGCGAGAACGCCGACCAGAACCTGCGGCGAGAGAGTGACCACAGTCGGCGGCAGCCATGCGGAGGCATCACAATCATCGTCCTCGCCCTCGGTCTCGACAGTCACCAAGCCGTCGACAACCCGGACCACCACCGTGTGCACAGTCGCCTCGGCGCCGGTCCCGTCCTTGACCACGAACACCGCCTGCGGGGTGGAGGTTCGGCACCGATGGCAGTCGTTGGGAATAGCCACATCGCCACCATCACCAGCAGCAGCACCAGCACCAGCACCAGCAACATATGATTATCAGTCCCGATGACAACCTGGGTGAGTGAGGGCTACTCTGGTGACTGGGGGGGGGGGGGGGGGGGGGAAGGAGGCCGGCATCTTCCGTTGCGCAACACACAGCCCCTCCCACCGCAAGCACGTACCCCGCCACTGTATCGAGACTCAGGCCCCTTGTAGGCATACGGAATAAACGCCAGGGCGGCGGCCAAGGCTTGCTGCGCGTCCACGTCGCTCTCCGAGGCCATGGCTGAGAGAAGGAGTCGTGTGTGGTGCGCAACGTGGACGTGGTGGCTGGTGGGCGGCAGGCGGTGGTCAGCAGGCGGTGGTCAGCATGTGATGGCCAGTGGTGGGCGTGGCTGGATCACGTCGGATGGATGTGTGTTTTGCTTGCGGTCGACCTCTAGCGTACCAGACTCACGCTCCAGTTGGAGACCGGTGCGTCGGTCATTTACTGCCTGGCCTTTCCCTTGACCACAGCCACAATCCGCGGAACGACCATTGCGCCGACTGCAAGGGCGCATGAAGCCGCGACAGCATACCCGGCGTAATGGGCCCAGCTCGCTGCCGCCCGCGCGTGACGGAGGGCGCGGGCGCTCCCTGCCCGCGGCACAACGCCTGGTACAACGAGCGGTGCCGGTCTCAGGATCTCAAAGGGTGTGGGCCGTGGCCGGAGCGGCGATGACGGCACAGCGCCAGGCGAGTCGGGCATCGGAGCGAGGAGCGCGTCGACCCGCTCGAGCTCGTCTTCGAGCTTGGTGGTGTACGCTGCCGCCTGTGCGGCATAGAGACAGTCGAGGGCAGAGCGGATGCGTGCTGCAGAAAAGGCCGAGAGCTCGGCAGGGCTCGGCCGTGGCTCGGTCCGCGCCACGTGCTTGAGCCATGACGAGTAGTACCGGAGGAGCGCCTTGATGGCGCGGACGGCGCGCGGATGCTCCACGCCGAACTTGGCGCATGCAAGCGAGACCGCCTCCTGGACGTATGGCTCGCCAGTGGCATAATCGTGGCGTGTAGCGTAGACGGTCTGCAGTGCCGAAAGATTGTGGAGGACGTTGCGGTGTGAGGCGCCGAGTGAGAGCTTGTTGATCCGCAGCGCCTCGAGGAGCGCGGCCTCGGCGGCGGGGAGATCCTTGCGGTGGAGCCAGTACGAGCCGAGCGCCGAATGGTCCGAAGCAACCTCGGGATGGTTCGGCCCGAGCAGCGTCGAGCGGACTTCGAGTGCGCGCCCGAGGAGATTGTGCGCTAGATCGTACTCTCGGAGATAGAGGTGGAGCATGCCAACGTTGTGGAGCGTCCGTGCAGTCTCGGGGTGCATCTCGCCAAACCGCTGTGTGCGGATAGCGAGTGCCGCGTTGAGGTACCGCTTGGCCTCGTCAAAGTCCTTCAGTCGGCGATGAACGTTGCCGAGATTGTTGAGCACCGCCGCCACCAGCGGGTGGTTTTCATCAAAGAGAGCCGTCCGGATGTCGAGCGCCTGGTGAAGGAGCGCTGACGCAGTGTCGTACTCGTGACGATACGAGGCGATGAGTGCCATGTCATTGATGATTGCTGCGTACTCGGCGTGATGCGTTCCAACCGATGCCAAAACTATGTCGCGCGCCTGCTCGTAGAGCGACTCGGCACGCTCGTAGTCGTCAAACGAGTAAAAGTTGAGAAAGGCGAGATGCCGGAGCGTGTTGGCCACCAGCGGGTGGTCGTGGCCAAAGAGGTCGCGGCGGATGGCGAGCGCCTGCTCGAGCTCGTCCTCAGACGCGTTGTAGTTGGACTCGGCGCCATAGACACTGGCAAGGAGCATGCGGGTAGCAGCGACGCCAGCAGACTCGGGGCCGGCCAACTCAGCCTTGATCGCAAGCGCCCGGGTGAGCGCCCGTCGAGCCTGGCCGTAGCGGCCCTGCGCCTGACGCAGCTGGCCGACAAGGTCGAGGCACGCCGCACGGACATCTGCCACGCCAGACGTCGCCCGCCCGTGGTCAGGCGCTTCCATGGCCTCCAGCACCTCAAGAGCATGTCGGAGCAACGCGTCCGCCTTGGCGTACTGCGCCATCTCGCGGCAAACCGAGGCGAGGCCGAGCTCAACTCGCGCTTGGACCAGTGAGCCCTCGTCCGAGCTCCCCAGCTCGGCAGCCTCGGCAAGGAGCGCGTGTGCGCCGTGGTAGTGGCACGCCTGCAGCTGCGCCATGCCGTACTCGTACAGACTCTCCGTCAAAACAGGAACGATGGCCGGCAGCCGCTTTGCGAGCCTGCGCCGTAGCTTGAGCGCAGCTTCAAAGGCCTCGGACGCCGGCGCGATCTGCCCGTCGCTGGCGTACGCCACTCCAAGCTCGTGGTGGACAGCCGCGAGCTTGGAGTCTGTGGCATCGTGCGCCCACATGCGAGGCGAGAATAGCCGCGCGAGCGACGCCACCGGCGAGTCGATGCTCTCTGGATCGGCAGCGAGAAGCACCTTGCGAAGCGAGAGGACGAGTCCGATGTAGGTGGCTGGAGGGAAGCGTGCCCGCAGCAGCCGTCCGCCGGAAATGATCATCTGCGCCATCAGGTCCTCGGGCGGCGCCACGCCGCGAACAACTCGGAGCGCATCGAGCGAAGCCTGGACCTCGGCTGGCATCCACTGCGGCTGAGCCTGCGGTGGGGGCTGGTGCAGAGGCGCAAGCCCGACGCGAGGCTCGGGTCCTGCTGCCTCTAGCTCACACGGAAGCCGCGAGTACCGCACGCACTCTTCCAGCGCGTGCATGATGCTCGCTTCGAGGTCGACAAACGCCCGAAAGGCGGCTGCAAAGTCAGGCAGCTCGGCGAGCTCGACCACTTTGTCCGCGCAATACTCGATGAACCGGGCCCGAAAGTACATGCCCGGCGCCTTTGGCCAGGCAGTAGCTTGTGGCTCCAAGGCGTCCGAGACGTGACCGACATCGCTACCGCGGGCCGGCACCGCAATCCGTGGGCGATTTTCATGCGAGGGCCGCGGTCGGGCCGGCGACGGCGCAGCGGGCTGGGAGAGCTCGACGCGCGTCTCGGGCCCCGGCACTGAACCGGCGCCAAGGGCGGCGAGCTCGTGGACCACAAACTTGCGAACGAGTGGATGAAGCGAGTAGCGCCCAGTGCTTGGCGCGTAGCGGACGAGGAAGATGTGGTGAAGCTCGGCGAGAAGCTCCGACGCAGCATCGTGGTCAAGGCAGAGGACATGGGAAGCGGCGTCGACGTCAAAGTCTGCGTGGAACGTGGCGAGGCCTACAAAGTGCAGCTGCTGGGTGTGCGAGAGGGTGGCGAGCGAGGCAACAAGCGCAGCACCAAGCGACGAATCGGAGAGCGCAAAGAGATCGACGTTATTGAGACGGTCAAGGAGCGGTTCGAGCGGGAGGTGAGCCCGCTTGCGGAGGAGTGCCGAGATGACTGTGAGCGCAAGCGGGAAGCCGCCCGCGAGGACGGCGACCGACGACGCCTGGTCCGGCGAGAGCTCCGGATTGGCGTGCCGCAGAAAAGCAACCGAGTCGCTGTGGTCGAGCGGATCGAGGCGGACGTCGACGGCTGGGACATCAGTGACAGCAATGGGCACCGCGGCGGTGACCACGACGCAGCAGGCCGATGACGGCAAGAGTTCGTGGACAAGCTTTGCCGACGGCGCGTCTTCGAGAAGCAGCAGCGATGGCTCGCCGTGGAAGCACGAGAGGTACAGGCCGTCGAGCTCGGCTGCGTGGACGGGCAGCGATCCGAGGTTGGGGTAAAAGGCGCGGACGACAAAGGCGCGCGCTTCGGCAGGCGTGAGGTAGGTCGTCGGCGTGACCCGGAGCGAGATGGAAAACTGTCGCGGGTAGTCGTCGGAGAGACCGGCGACAAGCTGGCGGGCAAACGAGGCTTTGCCAATGCCGGGCGGTCCGGCGACAACAACAGCCTTGATGGGCGAGGCCTCGGACCGGATGTCGTCAAGGGTGGCACCCACGAGCCCATCGCGGGCCGACGGGACCGAGCCGTGGGTGATGATCTTGTACTGTGAGGTGTTGAGGCGCGAGGTCGGGCCAGACGGCTGGGGCGGCGCACCGAGGGCGGCAGCCGTGCCCGGTGGAGCGTTCATGCGCTCGAGAATGAGCTGCATCGGCATGACGTAGGTCGACGAGTCACGGCGAATGTATGCCGTCGGCTTGTTGCGGCCAATGAGATAGACCGGAGCCGGGCCGCGGGCAATGTGGAACTCGACAACAAAGGTGGGGTAGGCCGGTGCGTTGAGAACCGGGACAAAGCGAATGGCGATGAGCGACGAGTCAACAGGCGGCCACATGTCGTGAAGGACGCGGTCAGTGGCGAGGCGAAGGTCGTCGCGATTGGAGCGATTGAGGACAACGCCCTTGATGACTCCGTCGTCGGTGACGCCAAAGTACACGCACCCGCCGTTGGTGTTGATGAGCGAGTTGAGGTACTTGGAGAGGTAGTCAGAAATGCGACGGACCGGAGTCCGCGCTCGCTGGACAGCCTTGAACTCGTGCATGCGGTCTTCGTCGTAGCCAATGATCGCGTCGTAGAGGTACGGATCCGGCGGTGTGTCCGACGACGGCAGAACGTGCTCGGGGACGCAAGCTGCGGCAGCAATGGCAAACTCGTCCGGCGCCGGGGACGGCGCACGCGAGCCAGCGGGTGTCGTCCGCGGCGGCGGGCCGCCAATGTCGTCGTACTCGACCACATTGAGCTCGTTGCCGCCGGGCTCGCCAGTCTCAGCACGACCCTCGTCCGCAGACAACACGGGCTTGGGCATGGCCGTCTCAACACCTGGCAAGCGCTGCGCCTCGCCTGCAAGGTCGCGGAGGACGGTGACAAAGGCTTGATCCGGATCGTCAGGCTCCGAGTCAGCGACGGGATGTGGCGAGTCCGGATCGTCGCCCGTGCCGCCGGCTGAGAACACAACGTCGGCCATCGAGCCGGTGGAGAAAGCCCCGCGCGGGGTGCCGTACGTCGACGGCGGGCCCGAGGCCGAGCCCGATCCTGGCGAGACCACGAGCGTGCCGGCCGGCGAAGACGATGGCGGGACGATCGTGAGCGACGGGATGCGGCGGCGAGTGTGCGGGGTGTTAGCGGCGGTGGCAGGGCCAGGCGACGGCGAGGCTGGTGCAGGCGAAGGAGGCGTTGGCAAGTCGTGGTTGACCACCGCGTCGTCGTCGTCGTCCCTGTGAATGGACGAGACACCACCCATGACTTGGGTATGATTGTAGAGTGGAGGTGGCAGCATTCGGCGAGTGGCGGCACAAGCACAAGCAGGTGCAGCTGGTGCTGGCAGGTGAGAGACAGACCGAACTGCCGTCACTTCCGCGTCCGAAACTAACCCAAACATCGACGCGGGTTTGGGTCACACGGACAGCCACGGCACGGGCCCCTCGGCTCCACGCAAACAAACAAGCACCGATACCCATCTCCCGGCCGACACAGTCCCACCCAGCTCGAGCCTCACACACACACATCTTTTCTCCCACCTCAACCTCAAGTCCCCCGCTTTGAGAAACTGGTGCATTATGGGCCAGGGCCATGCCAAGGAGGCAGAGATGCGGACGCTTGCGGCGGCGCAGGAGGACACCCACTTTACCCTCTCCGAGGTCAAGCATCTGCGCAAGCATTACGAGCGGGTGTGCGGCGGATCGGAGCTGACTCGCGATCAGTTTGGCGAGCTTGTGGACGAGCTGCATCTTCCGGGACTCTCGGACTCGCGCGAGATGCTGGACGAGGTCTTTACCCTCTTTGACATCGACGAGTCGGACAGCGTCAACTTTAAGGATCTTCTCTCGGCGCTTTCCATCTGCGCACGCGGCTCGCTGGAGGAACGCATTCTGCTGGCCTTCCACATGTTTGGCGCCACGTCAGGCGGCGTGGTGTCGCGGGCATCGATGCTCAAGGTGCTGACCCACCTCGCGCCGCTCATCCGGTCGTCGGGCGAGGGCGTGCCGGGAGTGCTGCCTTCCGACGCCAGCAGCTCGATCAACAGTGCAGGTGTTGCCGACGCCGGCGTTGACATCGACGCCTTGTCGCAGTTTGTCGACACCATCTTTGCCGAGTGCGATCTTGATGCCGACGGCGCACTCAACATCCCCGAGTTTACGCGGGCCGTGCGTGCGACGCCGCAGCTGCTTGCCTTCATGGGCAACTTTGTGACGGCCGACACCGCCGCCAACCGGCCGCGCCGCTACCTAGTGGCGGTCGATGGTGGCGAATCATGCCACCGCGCGTTCCAGCACGTTCTCACTGACCTGCAGGGCCGTGAGCACTCCCTCCACCTCGTCGTCGTTGTCCGCAAGCTCGACCCGCGCCACAAGCCGCCGCTCATGTCCTCGGCCAAATTTGAGGCCGAGTTTGCTGCCCGCCACGATGCCATGCTCGCCACCATGCAGTCGTTTGAGGAGCTGGCTCACGAGGCCGGTGTCGCCCGCGTCGAGACCGAGGTCGTCCGCGACGTCGCCGAGGTCGGCCCGGCTATCATCGACGTCGCCCACCGCATCGACGCCGACGTCCTTGCCATGGGCTTTGAGGGCCAGTCTGGCCGCCAGCACAACTCTGCGGACGTCCATCTCGGCTATGTCGCCTCGTACTGCATCCAGCATGCCCACTGCTCGGTCCTCATCATCAAGTAACTGCTTCCCCCCCTGATCCCCCTCCTCCCAAGCCCCTCACGCGCTACGAGCCATACGACAGCAACACCTCACCCACGCCATTCCCTTCCCCACCCTCCTCACCCCTCCACACATACACACACACACACACACACACATACACACGTATATACATACAACCATGGTTCGTCACCCCACTCCCCTTCCCCCTCCTCCCACCCGTCCACCCCGTCCATCCTGCGCTCCCATCCATCCTCCTCCTCTTCCCTCCCTCACTCCCCCCCACCCCCACTCACTCCCTCCACCCCCCACCCCCACCCACACGCACATAGATCCGCCGCAACATCCGGCTGCGCAAGGACTACATCTACCAGAAGAGCCAAGAGGCCAAGGAGCGGGCCAAGGCCGAGAAGAAGGAGCGGCTGCGCAAGGCGCTCGATGAGGGCCGCATGATCGACCCGCAGCTGCGGCGGGATGTGGCCGAACTGGCGGCAGAGATGGAGATGGACGATGCTGGTGGCGAGGGCTCTGCAGCGGCGCTGCAGGCCGAGCTGATGGACAACGAGTATGCAAACGCGGGAGTGTTCGACCCGCGGGTGGTGGTGACGACCTCCCGCGAGCCGTCGGTCCTCCTCAAGCAGTTTGCCAAGGAGATCCGCTTGCTCTTCCCCAACGCGCAGCGGATCAACCGCGGCGGGTACCGGACCAAGGACCTGATGGATGCCTGCCGTGAGAACAACGTCACCGATCTGGTCGTCGTCCAGGAGCACCGCGGCATTCCGGACGGCCTGGTTGTCTGCCACTTTCCCTTTGGTCCCACGGCGTACTTTACCCTGGCCAACGTAGTCACCCGCCACGAGATCAAGGCTGCCACCAAGGTCTCCGAGGCCTATCCGCACCTCATCTTCCACGGCTTTACCACCCGCCTCGGCCAGCGCGTCGCAGACATCCTCAAGTACCTGTTCCCGGTTCCCAAGGACGAGTCCAAGCGCGTCATGTCCTTCATCAACGAGGCCGACTACATCTCCTTCCGCCACCACGTCTACGAGCAGCACGGCCACACGCCTGACGACGTCGAACTCGTCGAGGTCGGGCCGCGTTTCGAGCTCCGCCCCTACAAGATCGTCCTCGGCACCCTCGAGCAGCGCGAGGCAGACTCGGAATGGGAACTCCGTCCCTACCACAACACCGCCAAGAAGCGCCGAAAGCTGTAGCTCTGCCCTTCTCACATCAGAGCCGTATCCCTTTGCCCATCCAGTGGCCATCAAATACGTCTCACCATTCCCCCCCCCCCCCGACTCACACGCACCGCTCACCCAAAGCCACCGCTCGCGCCCACCCCACCCACCACCCATCTCCACCATGCTCCAGTACAGCGGTACGCCCCTCCCTTCCTCTCCTCCCCTGCCCACACCCCCTTCTCCTCATTCCTTTGCTTGCTCTTTCCCCGTCACTCACCCCTCCCCCCTCTCCCCCTCCTCCGGCCGCAATCGACGATTCTACGACCTTTTCCAGGCGGAGCCAGCGGCGGGTCGTCGTCGTCGACGGCAGCGTCCGGACTCGTGGCCTACATCCGCAGCCTTCCGCCCAAGCCGGACAACACATTGCGCCTCTTCTCTCGCAAAGACTACTGGACAGTGGCTGGCGATGACGCCCTGTTTGTGGCCATGGAGTACTACAAGACCAAAGCCGTCGTCCGCCACCTTGGCGGCGACGCCAGCTCGCCCGACGCCATCCCTCACGTCTCCCTCTCGCGCGGCATGTTCCAGGACACCGTCCGCGACCTGCTCATGAACCGTAGGCTCAAGGTCGAGGTACATGCCCGCCGGAGCGGTAAGTGGGCGCTGACCGACACGGCATCGCCGGGCAACCTCAAGTGCTTTGAGGATCTGGTGTTCAAGGCCGCCGGCGCCAGCGCCGAGGCCGGCGAAGCATCGACGACCGCCGGTGCCAGCGCCATCGTCGCCGTCAAGGTCACGTCAGGACCGGCAGGCTCGGCCATTCTGGCGGCGGCCGCCGTCGACATTGCCGCTCGCCGCCTCCGTCTCGCGGAAATGCCGGAGAACGACCAGTTTACCAACTTTGAGGCGCTCCTCATCCAAACCGGTGCCTCGGAAGTCATTCTTCCGGCCAACCTCCCGCCGCAGACCTCCAAGCGGCTGCTTGGCATCGCCCAAGCTGCTGGCGTCCTTGCCACCACCAAGTCGGCCTCGTCATTCTCGGCCAACAGCATCGAGCAGGACGTCCGCCGGCTCACCGGGCTTGACGCCGACAAGCCGCTCGCCGAGCTCGACGCGCGCGCCGCTGCCTCTGCTCTCGGTGCCCTCCTCAAGTACCTCGAGCTGCTGGACGACCCCTCGCTGTACGGCAAGTACAAGCTCTCGGCGCTCAACCTCGCCGAGTACATGCGCCTCGACGCCGCTGCCCTTGCCGCCCTCCATCTCTTCGAGACCGGGCCCGGCGCGTCGTCGGCCTCGACCGGCGGCGGCTCGCTCTTCTCGCTCCTCAACAGGTGCAAGACCCCGCAGGGCTCGCGCAAGCTCCACCAGTGGATCAAGCAGCCGCTGCTGGACATTGTCAAGATCAACCGTCGCCTCGACCTTGTCGCCCTCTTTGTCGACGCAGTCGCCGTCCGCACCTCGCTCCACTCGGAGCTGCTCAAGACCGTCCCGGATCTCTTCCGTCTCGCCTCCAAGTTCCTCAAGTCGCGCGCCTCGCTCGAGGACATGGTCCGGCTCTACCAGGTCGCCGCCAAGCTCCCGGCCATCGTCGAGACGCTCAACTCATGGACGGGGCCGGGCGCGGAGCTCCTAGCCTCGGCCTTTGCCGTCCCGCTCGCCGAAGTCGCCACAGACCTCAAGCCCTTCCAGCAGCTCGTCGAGTCCACCATCGACCTCGCCCGCGCAGACGCCCACGACTTTGTCATCCTCCGCTCCGTCGACGCCCAGCTCGACAAGCTCGCCACCGCCCGCGATGCCCTCATCGCCCGCATCGAGGCCATTCACGGCGACGTCAACGCCCGCCTCGCTGCAAAGGCCAAGGCCAAGTCGTCCGCCGCTTTTGTCAAGCTCGAGGTCAACGACCAGCACGGCTACTACATGCGCATCGCCCGCTCCAAGGAGAAGATCCTCCGCGGCGACGCCCGCTACACCACCCTCGAGACCCGCAAGGACGGTGTCAAGTTTGCCACCCCGACCTGCTCAAGCTCTCCGCCTCGTACCGCACCACCGTCAAGGCCTACGCCGCCCAGCAGGCCGAGATCGAAGCCAAGGTCCTCGGCATCGGCGCCACCTACACCGCCGTGTTTGAGGACCTCAACGACATCGTTGCCTCGCTCGACGTCCTCGTCGCCCTCGCAGAAGCCTCGCTCTCCGCGCCCATCCCCTACATCCGCCCCACCCTCGTTCCGCACGGCACCGCCGGCCTCTCGCTCATCGACTCGCGCCACCCGTGCCTCGAGGCCATGCCCGACATTCAGTTTATCCCCAACAACGTCGAGCTTGGCCCGCCCGGCGACAAGCGCCTCCTCCTCATGACCGGGCCCAACATGGGCGGCAAGTCGACGTACATCCGCCAGGTCGGCGTCATCGTCCTCATGGCACAAATCGGCTGCTTCGTCCCCGCATCCTCCGCCACCATCCCGCTCGTCGACTGCATCCTCGCTCGCGTCGGCGCCGGCGACTCGCAGCTCCGCGGCGTCTCCACCTTTATGGCAGAGATGCTCGAGACCGCCTCCATCCTCGCCACCGCCTCGCCGGCCTCGCTCATCATCATCGACGAGCTCGGCCGCGGCACCTCGACCTACGACGGATACGGCCTCGCCTACGCCATCGCCGAGCACATTGCCAAGGACCTCGGCTCGCTCTGCCTCTTTGCCACACACTTTCATGAGCTCACCCAGCTCGAGTCGCTCCTCCCTAGGGCCGTCACCAACGTCCACGTCACTGCCCACACCGCAGACGATGCCCTCACCCTCCTCTACAAGGTCCGCCCTGGCCCGTGCGACCGCTCCTTTGGCATTCACGTCGCACGCCTCGCCCACTTTCCGCCGCGCGTCATCAACATGGCCAAGCGCAAGGCTGAAGCCCTCGAAGACTTTGACTCGATGGCCGCGGGCCTCGAGTCGGGTGACTTGCCGGCGCCCAAGCGCGCAAAGAACCTTTCCGCAGACATTGTCGCCGCCGGCGAAGCCGCCATCAAGGACTTTCTCGCCGCAGCCAAGACCCAGCTGGCGGGCACGGTCCAGCTCGACGACGCCCTGGCCGCAGAGCTCTCCGATGCCGACCGCTCCGCCCTCTCTCCGCTCATTGCCAAGCTCCGCAACTCGTCCAACCCATACGTCGTCTCGCTCCTCGACTCGTTTGCCGTGCAAAGCTGAGCTCAGCACGATGCCGCGCTGGCGCCGGCGGTGTCGACAACGGTGTAGGCCGCAAGCTCCACCTCGCGCGCGCTCGCCTCCCACTGCAGCATCCCGCCCATAAACTCCAGCAGCCACTGCTCGTTGCTCGCCGACCTTGTGCTCCACTCGAGTCGAGACCGCAGTTCGGCTACAACCTCGTCCCGCGAGCGAGGGGCAGGGCTCGACTCGCTCGCCGGCGCAAGCAGCGCCTCGTACCGCAGCGCCTTGTCAGGGCACTCGGCAGCGGCACGCGCCAGCCAGCTCGTCGGCGGTGGCCCCAGGAGCTCGACCATGCCCGCCAGCGCCTGCGCCTCGTTGGCAACGTTGAACAGCGGCTTTCCGCCAGATGCAACCTCGAACGCCACGCACGCCAGCGACCACCCGTCGGTCCCGCTCCCGTACGCGCCCGTGTACCCGACCACAGCCTCGGGCGACCGGTACAGCAGCGTTTGCAGGTGCGAGACCCGCTGCGCATCAGCAATCCGAAACGACGAGCCGTAGTCGGTCAGTCGGAACCGCTCCGCCTCTCCATCGGTGCACACAACCAAGATGTTCTCCGGCTTGACGTCGCCATGAACGAGCCCGGCGAGCCCGTGAAGCGCCAGTGCCTCACAGCCATCGCGGACCACGCCGCACGCCGTCGCGGCCCGCGCACCAGCCTCCGCCGCTTTGAGTGAGCTCCGCATGTAGTGTAGCAGGTCGCAAGCACACCACTCCAGCAGAATGCACATGTGCGCCTTGGCCTCAAACGACTCCAGCGGGAGCAGGATCGGGAGCGCTGCGAGTGAGTCCCGCTCAAAGCCGGAAGCTTCCAGCGCGCCCGACAAGTGGTCCAGCATGTCGAGCTCGTGCCAGCCGAGTGCCGCCATGTCCGCCGATGCGTGAAGGACCTTGAGTGCCCGCACCGGCGTGCCGGCCACAGCGTGGTCGCGCACCGTCGCCACCGCGCCCGACACGCCCTCGCCGGCCATGCCCAGCACCTCAAACCGAAACGCAATGCTCGCGCCGGCAGGAAGAACCTCGACCTGTGCCGCCTCATCGCTTGGCCAGACCGGATCACGCCCTGTCCCGACGTAATACACCCGCGCCACGTTCCACATGGCGTCGCGGAGCCGCGGCGGCAACCGCTCGCCGTGCGCGGCAATGGCCGAGGCCGGCGAGAGGCCCAACGTTGCTGACTCGCCGCCACTGCCACTTGCTGGCCGCTCGTGCGGCGCCGCCACTAGCGTGGCCACCGCAAGCTGCGGCGACGAGTCGGGCGAAGTGACCGGCGAGCTCGGTGCGGTTCCGGGCGCACTACCCACAAAGCCGAGCGCCGACGCCGAGACAAGGGCAGCGGCGGCGGCGTACGCATCGCCCCACCACCGACCGCTCACAAGTTGGCCGTCACTCACGACATAGCCAGCCGCGTCCGGCACAAGCGCGGTCCCGGGCTTGCCCAGCAGTAGAGGGCCCGGCATCAACGACACGCCGGCGACCCGCTCAAGCTGCGCCGCAAATGTGCCGGCGTCTGACACCGCATACTGCGAGCCGCGGATGAGGCGCGTCTTGCGCTGCGCGCTACCGGGCAGTGTCGTCACCGCACGCCCGTCCAGCAGCGATGATGTCGAGCCGGGCACGGTGACCTTGGACAGAACCAGCACCGCGCCGCCAACAGTGGCGATCGGGAGTCCGGCAGCCCAAAACTGCGCCACAGCCAGTGCCACCTCGCGGCTCTCCAGCATCGCAGCTTGGTACTCGACGCTGAGTCCTGATGGTAAGTAAAGGCCTGCGTATGCGTCCGGATGCGCGTCGCACACGTCCAGCGGCTCGCAGAAGGTCGAGGCCTCCATAAGCTGCGCGGCCTCAAACTGGACGTCACGAGGTGCGGCGCTGAGCAGCGCCTCGTCGGCAACAGGCACTGCTCCGCGCGGTGTGGCAAACACAACATCAACTGCAGCCTCGGAAAGGACCCGCCACGCGCTGGCCACGTCTGCGAGGTCGACGCCGCGGTCCGGGAGCACCACCAAGACCCGGCCGGTCGGTGCGAGCACGTGTGTGCCAATGTCCAGAAAGGCACGGACAACAGGGAGCGAGCGGACAATCTCGTGCGAGCACACAACATCGAGGAGGAGATCAAAGGCGGCCCGACGCGCGGCGACGACGGCCGGCGCCCGCGACCGCGAGCGCAGACCCCACGTCTTGGCCGGCATCTGTGGCAGATCAGGCAAGCCTACGACCTCGTGCCGGAGCGCCTCGGTCAGCGCAGTGTGAAAGGCGTCAAACTGTGAGTACGTACGGTGAACCCGCCAGCTCGCCGGCGCCGCGCCGTCTGCGTCGGCCGTCACCGTCACCGCCACCTCGTAGCGCATGCAGCGCGCGCCCGGCGCCCATGGCGGCGCATCGTCCACAGCCTCGGCCACTTCAGCTTCAACCCAGGCCTCGTCCAGCTCGCTCCGCGATAGACTGCGCCACGGGCCGGCATGCGAGACCGGCTTGGCCCATGGGTGCGGCACCGCATACATGGCTCCTGTCCCAGCTGTAGGAAGGATGCCCCTCCCCTATCTCCAGCCCTTGCCCTTTGCGGAGCTAGCGCGGCACGCGGCACGGGACACGCTCGTGATACGAACGCAAGTTGGCGGCCGCGGGGGGAGGGGAAGAGGGTGGTAGTGGGAAGGGAAGCGTTGCTGGCTGGGACTCGGTGCAGCTGCCGAGAGAGGTTGAAGAGAACGGGAGGGGGGGGGG